CTGCAATCCTAAGCAGCAGCTGCTGCCTGCTAAGGAAAACATGACCCGGAAGACTCTTCCGGGAGATGCAAGAGGGACAGAACCTCGGCAGAGCTGCTGCCCTGGCCAGGCGCGCCCACCACCGCCCCCGGCCCCAGCTCCAGCCCCACGCCATCCAGGGCTGGCTTCCCCCGGGAACGCGGCCCAGAGCAGGCACTCCCAGGGGCCTGTGCGCTCTCCTGCTCTGTGGCCCAGGACGTGGCCTGAGCAGGTGGCTGAGGAGCAGGCACTGCAGGGGTGGCCACAGCAGGGACTAGGCTGCACCGCCACCTCCCGTGGCCCTGCTGCAGGGGCTGCCGACATCCCAGATCACTCAGCCTGGTGAGCACACGGGCTCCCCTTCCTGAAGGCAGGCTGTGGCCATGGGTCCAAGGGCTGGGAGCTCCCACCTGCCTCCTGCGGTGCTGCGTCACCCTGAGCTGGGAATTCGGACAAGGCCTCGTCGGGTCCCACCCTCTGCATGTCCCAGGGGAGATTACGTTATCTCAGGCCTCCCTGAGGCAGCTCCTGGGCCTCTGGAATCTTTGGGGCTGACCCAGGTCTGGCTGGGGACTGGAGGGAATGGCCATGGGTGTGGCCGCGTGCAGAGCAGAGGAGCTGAGGCCTGTGTGGGGGGCCAGGAACCCGGACAGAAGGGGCCTGCACAGGCCTTCTCGCCTCGTCTCCACGTGCCGACAGGAGTGACGCGGATCTCCGCTTCTGCGTTAGATCGTTTGTGGACTCAGTGTCTTCCTCCCTTCTTGTTACTGTGTACGTACTGCACACGGCGCTCACGCTCCCTGCGGGGAGCTGCTGCGCACCCACACTGGGTCTCAGCGCTGTTACTTCTTGCCCTCCTGCGCATCTCTAGACCCCTTCCTGCACGGCAAGGCACCCATTTCAGGACAGCCAAACTTTACTTTCTCCTTTCAGTTACTTATAATTTGGATTCTCAGGTAAGAAAAACCATGTAACACTTGCCCCTCCGTATCTCCCTTTTCAGTTAGCATTATGTCCTCAGGTCCTTCCGTGCTCCTACAAGTGACTGTGTGGGCCCTTCTTCATGGCTAGGTAGTACTCCACGGTGCAGGCTGCTCCTGTCACCTCACCCCTCACTGGCGAGTTGGTGGCACAAGCGCGATGCCCCTCTCACGGAGGCAGCTGGGGTGAAGCTACTGTGGGCGCTTCCATTTTCAGCTTTGAGGCTGGCAGCCAGGCACAACCTGTTACCCCTGGGAGAGCCACACCAGACACCTGCATGTGACACTGTGGCCCCTCGGCATGTGACAGAGCCTGTCCTCATCATCGTCCCTCGGCTTTTGTTGCCTTACTGATATTGGTTGGTAGAGTGTCTTTTTTTTGCACTAAGTTCTCTTGCTGGTCTGTTCTGTGTGGCTCTCTTGAGCCCAGGGCCTCTGTGCGGAGCTCTGTCTCTACCTCTTGCTACTTTAAAGTTGGGGACAGGGTCTCATTAAGTCGCCAAGCTGCCCAGGCTGGGCTGGAATCTGTGGTCCTCCTGCCTCAGCCTCCCAGATGAGGCTGAGGCTATAGTCCCGTACCAGCACACCCGGCTTCTCTCCTGGTAACTGTTGCTGTTCACTCTTCTCAAGTTCTCATCCGCCCCCTAAATTACAGAACTTAGAAACATCACGGAGGCACCTCTGTATCCCGGACATCATCAGAACTAGCATATACTCTTTCTGTTTTCTGAAGAAACAAGAAGCAGGACAGCACGCTGTCCAGAGGCTCCCTGGAGCGTGCTGCCCGCCTGGTGAATGTGCCCTCCTGAGCTTGGCGGCTGGACCTGAGGGCCAGGAAGCTTGCGGTCGCACTCGGGTGACTGGGCTCATCTCGAACCAAGAGCCACTGTCCTTGGGGCTGCTTTCTCTCCACTGTTATTCTGTGGAAGTCTTTGCCCATTTCTCCCTGCCTAAGCCACAGGTTTATTAACAGGAGCTGTGTGACTGTGTGCACACACGTGTGTGTGTGTGTGTGTGCATGCATGCATGCATGTGTGCTGGGGATGGAACCTAGGGCCTTGCACACGCCAGAAGTGGGCCTCCCCTGTCCTTTGGCTGCAGCGTGTCCGGCCTGAGGAGCTCACTGTACCACGTCACCAAAATGCAAGTGAAGCCGGGAGTGGCCTCTTGCTGCTCTGAGTGCCACCCAGGGCACGGCACAGCCTGCAGAGGTGAGGAGCGGGGAGCCCAGGACAGGCCTGGCCGCAGCAGGGAAGAAGCACTGGTACTTCCCGAGGTCCTGGCCGCCTCCACTGCAGGGCCCACGCCCTGCACTTGGCAAAGGCTAGCTGGGCGGAGCTGATGCTGCAGGCCCTGGAGTCTTTATGGGCTGGTAGATAAGGTTCCTTCTGTCTGTCTTGCTCCTGAGCAGCGCATGGGCACCGTTGTCTGGGTAACCCACCCTGAGTCTCCAAGCAGCCCCGCAGCGGCAGTGGGGAGGCCGGGCTGGGTAGTGGGCCTTCAGCCCTCATAGGCAAGCACTCCCACGCCAACGCCGTCCTCTGCCTGGCTGCCTCTTGCCCTTGTAACTTGACAGGCACCCCTCACCTGGACATCCAGGAGCAGTGGCTTTCTGAAAACGTTCACTTTTCCTTCTATCATCTGAAAGCAGCCTGTAGCACGCCATCCTTCCTGGGCATCACGCAGGAGTGCAGGGTGGGTCCAGGGGAGGCTGAGGACCATACTGCATCCAGCTGAGCGTGGTGCTGCAGGGGCCACAACGGATGCTGCAGAGGCTGCGAGGGACACAGCAGGGCTGGGTCGCCTCAGTCTATGGTGACGTGCTAGAGCAGGCGGTATGGCAGGCGTCACCGGGTCTCTTCTGGGGCTGGGAGACAGGAGCAGGACCAGGCAGGGAGATTCCAAGGACATCTTTGTCCAGGACTCAGACAGGGCTCTGGATGGAGGATGCGCTCACACTACGGCAGAGGCTTAGCTAAGAAATAAGCACGTGTCCAGCCAGATGGCGTGTGTGAGCACGTGCATGTGCATGCCTGGGTAAGTGAGCATGGCTGCAGGGAGACCACCCACCCGCACAGGCAGCCTTACACAAAGCCCACCCCAGAATGGCCACCTGGGCCAGGCTGAGCTTCTCTGGAGCCAGCCAGGGCAGTGCCGGTGCCCCAGGCCAGCGCTAAGGTTCCGTGTCTGAGGCTAGCGCTTTGCGCACTCCTGCACTGGCGCTATTCCCACGAGGGCCGTCTCAGCAGCTCTGTTTCTCAGTAGAAGAGTGCTGCTCACCCTTCTGTTCCTGAGCTCAGAGGTCCTGTGGTGTGGGCGCTGCAGGAACTAGAGTTGTTCGCGCTGCACAGAAAAGTGACTTGAGAACTTTCTTCTGTATTCTGCAAGTCTTTTGCTTGTGGAGAGCCAAATGCTTTGGACTAACGTGAATGGCACTGTGCAAAGAACTGGGCCTCTTGTCCCGCGATCAGCAGTTAACGTGCAGCAATGCACTACCGTGTTCTTCACTTCAGATGCTAGTGTGCGCCGTGCAAAGTGTTCTGGCAACTCCGGTATCTGTGGGCTTGCACTTGGGTCACAGGACGAGCCTACGTTTTCTTCCATGTCGTCGTCATCCAATGGTGAGGCACGCTGCGTGCTCTTCTCCTCTGCTCATTCCCTCACTCGCTGGTGCGCCCGTAAGCTCGCCGGCTGTTCTGTCCCCGTGTGTGCACATGGCGGGCACGGAGCTGTGCTGCTGAGCTGGACGGGCGAGTGAGGAAGGCGGCTCTCAGCCCACTTCACCCCTCGCCTCGCCTAGCTGTCACTGAGCCAGTGCTTTCTGCTGCTCGCCTCCCACAATGCCTCATCTTACCAAGGCCTTAGTACTCACTTGGGCCTCTTCTCCCAGGTCGCAGACACTAGGCGCCCTGTGATGCAGAGCGACTGGAGCAGGAGTTTTCACACCAGCTTAGTGCTCAGTGAAGGTGGCCAGGGCGCAGAGGCTGCACGGCGGGCACTGCGCGGCCAGCTGCTCTGGGGCTGCGACGCGCATCTGTCTCTGGGCACAGCAATTCCAGCTGTGCGTGGCAGTGCGTGGCTCTGGTGTCCACGAGATTAGGGTCAGCAGGAGAAGCAATCGATGAACCGTATGGGGGCGTTAGGAGGTAACTGAGCCAGTAACTCCAAGAAACTGAAAAGCAGGTACTTCTCAACCGCATTTGCCCACTGCCCCAGGATTTGTTTTTGGGGGGAACGAGATGAGCTGAGCCAGAGAAGTTTGGAGGACACTTGTTTTAGCAAAGTCTGATAAACACGTATTTTATCACTTCAGAATCTTCTCTGAAAATTAGGTTGTCCATCCAGGGCGTTTAATGTGGCAGCTGCTGCGCACATGGCTGTCACAAGATGTGACTCCAGCGCACATCTGTGTGGGGTGGCTCTGCCTGTGGAGCACCAGAGTGCTTGGGACGGTGGCAAAGCTGAGCAGGCAGCTGCCAAGGAATGTTCAGACTCTGGGAGCCATTTGGGCGGGGGTGGGGGAGGAAACAACAGTGTTTCCGGACCCGATGTGTTTGGAAGTTTCCAGAAAAACTTGTTAAAGCTCTCTATGAATGCGCTGTCCACAAAGAAAATGTGAAGCAAGCCACCCGTGACACACCATTCCTGCAGGTCCGTGCCCTCTCCTGAGACACTCTGACCAGACTGAGGTCTTGGGCTGGCACACTGGAAGCATTCTTCTGGCTCTGCGACACTTGGAGACACTGCCTCCAAGATGCAGCAACCGGCAGCATGTGGCCATAACCACCCCGCCAGCAGCGCGGGTCCACGCTCTCGTGGGTTGTAGCCCTGTCCACAGTGATAACTGTTCTGTGGCCCACCTGCAGGCCAAGCAGCAGATGCGCAGTGAACCAGTGGTTCTGAGCAATAATATGTTTTCTTAATATGATGCTGTCTTTAAGGTCTCACTTTGTCTTTAATGGTATTACAACCTAGTTTTCTTTTTTGCCTTCTTTATTGCAGTTGCATTTGGGGCTGCTGGCTTTAGGGACTTTCATGCACTAATTCCCAAAGCTTTCTCCCGTAAGTATATGCCTTGCTTCTGGACAGCAGAAGCGCCTTCCTCCGTTCTCCATTCCATCATGTGCGCATTGTGACCGCATGCTCTCATTTGGGGAAAAAGAGACCCGGGGCGGCCGTTCTGTTCATGAAGCACAGAGACCCCCAGTGCAGAAGCGAGATGTGGGGGCTGGGTGCTGCGCACGCCGGGGCCACAGGGTCACACAGGCAGGTGGGGCAGAGGGTGTGGGCAGCACCGTGGCTCATCTCCTGTGCTCCCGGTGCGGTGACACAACAGCCACGCTTTCTGCCACCTGTGAAAGAATCCAATGGGCTTTGAAGATAAGTTTTACAATTCTGTGGGCCAAGAGAAACACAGCTTCCTGCTCGGAGTGCTGATCTCAGGACTGAAGACACACCTGGCATGCAGGGTTCCCATCAGCAGTGGCCGGCAGCGCTTTCTTGGCTGGGCCCTCACCTGTGACCAGGCCACGCCTGCAGAGGGCAGAGGAGCTTAGGGACCTTGACTGGTTGGAGCTGCTAAACCACAGCTGTTCATTGCATTTTTGCTTTTCTAGGTACTGAAATTTTTTTATGTTAATTTTATTGAGAAACAAATAGCAATGAGACAGTTTCAAAACAGGTTAGTAGGACAGTTACAATAATTAATACATTGCATATTGTTGTCTTCATAGTAGTTATTCATAGTACAAGATGCAGACATGATATCCTGTCCAAACGCTATTAGTACAAATCTTTCTTCTCATGGAACTAAGAGAAAATAGCTTTATATCTATGCTATTTTGCATATACAGATAGATAGATGGATAGACAGACAGACAGATATATACACAGATTTAGGCAACGCTCTTAAAGGAGTATTTCAAAGATCTGAGAATTCTCTTTTTAAAAGTAGACAGAGAACTAAGTATTAAGTGTCTCAGTTTTAGAGCTTGAATTAGTAAAATCTCTAACATTATAAAGCACTGCCAGAAAAGACGGAACTGCAAAACTTATCTTCAAAACCTGTTAGGTCCTTTCGCTGGCGGCAGAAAGCGTGGCTGTTGCGGCACTGCACCAGAAGCACAGGAGGCGAGGAGGGGCCACGGTGCCGCCCGCACTCTTCCACCTGTATGCATGTTAATTTCAGTTTGGGAGGCTTATTGCATGGTGCTGGGAACCACTCCCAGGCGCTCACACGTGCTAGGCTAGTGCTGTAAAACAGCATGACACCCCAGCCGGACTTCCTAAGAGACACGGTGACAGAAATGTGGGCTCAGGTGCAGAGGTGTCAGGAACAGATGAAGACCCGTTTCTGACTGCCTCGGTATCAGAAGAAGTATTCGGTGTCTAAATGATTTACCAGGATCTAAGTATACTTCTATCCATAATCTAGACTACTTTTCTAGGATATGAAAGCTTAGGGAAATTTTTCTATTAATATCTCTCACTAATACACCTTTGATTCAACTTCAAAGCAACAGCTTGATATCTGTCTCTACGATGAATGTACATGTGCACATATGCATGTTTGTGTATATAAAATTGTGTGCATAAGTAAGCATATAAAACAGGTGCTAGGACACAGGAACCATTCATTTGGAGGTGAGCAATCACCTTGTCAAAAGCCAGGTACTTTTGGACCAGGGAAATAGCTCAGCAGCATAAGCACCTGCCTGGCAAGTGCAAGGTCATGAGTTCAATCCTCAATAAAAAATAAATAAAATAAAAAGTCAGGTACTTTAAAGAGCAAGACAGTACATTTAAGGACACATTTTCATTAAATCCAAGGAAGGTGTAGGCCAACCATATTGTACTATGCTGTCTATGTAAATCTTTTAGTGGAAACCAGATGTAAAATTCATTGCACAGAAGATAGATAATACTGAGAGCTTTTAGGTGAGACATGATTTATACTTCAATATACTTTTTGTCTATATATTTATACACATGTGCTCATACGGTATCTCTCTCCCCTTCTCCCCCAGTATTCTCAAATTATACTATCCCACTGGGCAGTTGATCTTGACATCCACACCCAACAGCAACCAAGCTGTCCTGGGCCAACATTGCCCCCTGGTGGTCATGATGAGAAATGTCCTTCAGGGTCCTGGATACCCTCTTTTCTTGAAATTAATTTAACCTCTATAACCTCCTCTACCATCTTTATTCTGATTTGTGTCCTCAGATACCTAAATAAAAGTATCATTACAACTTATCCTTTTATACAGACTTGTCTTCTTGGCTATCTTTAGCTGGCCTCCTCACTCTTTGACTTACTTCATTTAAAGGCCAAAAAGATCAGAAGAATATTTGTAATAATGCATCTTGACAGACTAGAAACTCTACCCTTTAAATATATTAAGTTATAATAAATAGTTCTATTGACCTTTAAAATGCTTAAACATTTCATAAATCTTTTGAAGCAATACATATATATATATACACACACACACATATATATATATATATATTCATCTCAATTTTTCACTGAATTACCGCAGTAAATTTCAAGATGTATCTTAAAAATTGTATTCCACTTGGTTTTACTTAGTACTCATTGGTGTTGTTTGTAGGGTATTCCTGTCTCCCATTTTTTATTTAAAACGTTGAAGGGCCAGCCAAATAGCTCAGTGGATTGAAGCACCTGCAAGCAGGTGCGAGGGCCAGGGGTTCAGTCCCTGGGCCTGTCTTACTGGCTGTGCCCCCGGGGCTCCCTGAGACAGCAACTGTGACTGGGCGTGGTGGCGCATGCCTGTAATCCCAGCTCTTGGGAGGAGATAGATAGATAGATAGATAGATAGATAGATAGATAGATAGATAGACAGTGAACATTTTAAGCTTACATGGCCCAAATTCATATTGCCAATTTCAGAATGTGACCTGGGTACCAAAAGCTGCTTTTCCAGCAAGTGCGAAGCCAGATTCTAAGAAGGACATGGAGAGGAAGCATAAGCCACGCGGAAGTGGCACCTGCCAGTGCGCATTATACCTGTGCATTAGACACGTTCAATTATTCACAAGTGCGGAGGACGCCTGGCAGCCAGCGCAAGCCTCCTGGCTCCAGCTGGCCTCAGAGTCCTCGGACTCTCCCGATTCGCCATTCTGAACTTGTCTGAATGCTGCAGGCATGCCCTCTTGCAGGTGGGGGTCTCTAACTACGCTCTTGGGCTGCTGATCCCATAGAAGCATCTAACATACATGACAGAAAGATTGCAATTGCTCCACATTTTAAATAGCACCTGAGAAGGAACATATTTTGATCAGGGCCTTAAAAACATCTACCTCAGTATAAACTGTGGGGCTGAATAACAAGACTGGGCCCCTGCCCATTCTCTCGCAGTCAGTGGGAGAGCGTGGTGGAAGCTGGAGCCCAGCCAGGAGGGGAGTGCACCCGTGGGTCCCTGCTCACTTCTGCATTCATCAGGGCAGTTCAGCGGCTGCTTCTGCTCCTTGGTGCTCTAAGTGATCAGGTAGGAAGGGTTAGAAAATATTTATAAGTCTCTTCCCCGTAGTCAAGAAAGTGCCTGCGACTTCACCACTAAGCACTTCTAGGTGGAGTAGACACCGCTTTGATAGGCACCCTCGGGCACACAGAAATCTCTGTCATCTCCATAGCCGGCACCAGCCCCCTCTGTCCCCCATGGTAGGAGGACCTTCATCCCCTGCTCAGGGGAAGCCCAAGCTGCTGAGGCTGGTGACCCCTGCCGACAGCACCACTGCTGCTGCCTGCTTCTCACCACCCGCTCCCTCTTAGACGCCATGGACCTTGCAGGTCACAGCATGGCCCACAACTTGTCCCTGTCATGCTAGCAAGTGTCCAGCTCTTCTCCCTCTGTAGCTGGCCTGGAAGCCCATGCAGAAGCACACATGGCTCCTACGGATGCAGAGCCTTCTGCCATGTCTTTGTGTCTCACAGTTGCTTCCCCTTGGGCACAGCCACCTACGGACACTGTGTCCTTTTTCTCCTAGAAACTCAGAACCCAGCATCCTTCACTTTCTTCCTCAGAATTTACCTCAACCTGGTGTAGACTCCTGCTGCTCCCCTACAGACCTGCGCAGGGACTCCTCCCACCCACACACACCCCATGGCGGAGTACTGACACACAGGCCACATCTCGGTCACATCTGCTCCCCATTTCTCCCTGCCCTTTTCTTATATCTCCACGTCCACCTTCTACAGGGTTCCCCCCCCCTTTGCCTCTTATTTTGCTCTTCATGTTTTGGGTCCCTCCTATTAGAACCACACGACTCCAGCTCGTGGCTCGCGTAGTTCGCTGATGGCCTCAAATGTTATCCACCCTCCTGCAGACGACTCCCATACACCCTTCCTGCTGGCAGAGCAGTGCTCACCACGTGCACACAGCTCCCTTCCTCCCTCGCTCCTCTGCTGATGGGCATCTAGGTGGCTCTGAGGTCCAGCTGCTGTGAATGGCGGCAGTACAAAGTGGGCATGCGTGGATCGCTGCAGGATGCTGTTAACTCTTTTGGGAAAATGCCTAGGAGAAGTGCAGCTGAGTCAAATACAACCTCTTAGACATACACTTCTTCTACCTGTCCCTGTGGGCTTGTCTACACCACATCCTGTCTGGCTGTCCATGTTTTCTCTGACTTCTCGCCATTCTCAGCAGCCCATCATATAGGATAGTAACAAAGTCCCGGCTTCAGTCACCTTGGTCAAGTTAGTGGCCAAGCCCACGTCCCATGGCATGAGTACACCAGTGGTGCTGACAGCAACCCCACTGCACACCTTCCCCACACGTCGCCTCCTTCCTGACGTGACGCCTTCCCCCTTATGCAAGGTCTGTGTGGTGGTGGAACTTCTCTCTGTGGCCAGAGCCAGATGCCGCCCACTCCCCGAGGCCCACCTCCTCTCCAGGAAGAGCCGCACAATCAGGAGGGACTCGTGCCACAGACATCCCAAGATCACTGTCCCCTCATCTCACAGAAGAGATAAGGCTGTCCCACGCATACACGCACATCCTCAGGACGGCCAGGCAGCCATGTCCAGCTCGCTCCTTCTCAGAGTATGGATGATCCAGGCAGCCTGCCTAGCTCGGCCATACCCCCAGCTTTGTCCTGCCTCTCAGCCCTCAGGTAGAAGAGCGTCCACTCTAGTCACTCAACCATGCACCAGAATAGCCCAGTCTCTCTCAAAAGCCACAAGTCACTCCTAGGTTGGGGAGAACACAGATCTTTGCAGCTTGGTGCATTTCTGCAGCAGGTTTGACTCTCCCCTTATTTACTGCTGTAAGATCTAGAGAGTTGGTGAGTCATAAAGAACTGAAGCTTATGGAGCTTGTGGTGCTGGGGTCAGGCCTGTTGATGTTTCCCTAGGGAAAGCTCCAGGTGGCCATGATGGGGCACATGTGTGCAGGGGCTCTCTATTGTCATGGACCAGCAGACTGAGGGAGTGTTTCACAGGGACCACTTGCCCTTCCAACAGCATCTTCCAGGGACCCAAAGACGTCCCAAGCAGCCCCACCCCTCTAAGACCTCCATACTTCCTAGCAACTAAGCTCCTGCCACGCAGACTCATCCAACCACAGCAAAGCCACTGCAACCAAAGCGGGAAGTCACTTCCATTCAACGGGGTGCACAGACATTCCTGAAGGCCCTAGTTTTATGGGGCTTGGTTTCCTACTGCGGGCCAAGTGGCAGTCTGGCCTCCCCGCCTGCCTGTGCCCTTCCTTCACTGGCCTCGTCAGGATGATGTGGCGGTCTGTCCCTGGAGGCTGGGAGGTGTTTTCAGGAAGCTACTCAAATGCAAGGCTCTGAGCTACCAAGGTCGATCTTGAGACCTTGGCGTCTACTATAGGGGCTGTGTCCCCGTTCTGATCAATCCTTTCCATTCCCTGTAAGATTTTTCTCCAAAAAGCTAGTGGAAAATATCAGCTTTTATCTTAGTTACTCTTCTCACCACTAGGACAAAATTCCCAACATGCCCAATTTAAGGGAAGATAGGTTTATTTTAGCACTGTTTGTGAGGGCTCAGCCCATGGGTGGCTGGCTCAGAGCAGGGTGGCATCTGAGCAGGAACAGTCCGTGGCACGGTAGCTGGAAACCGTGATGGAGGGAGGAAGAGGAGACCGATCAGGCCCCGCCCCCAGCCCGCTCCAGCCAGGCTCCACCTCCCCACAGCCCATCAGCCACACGGGCCTCAGTGGACTAATCTGCAGACCAGCGTTTCACACCCATCATCCCATCAGCCCCTGGAGCCCTCCCCAGAGTGCTCGAGGCTTGTGGGGACACCTACTGCATAACAGCATCGTGGTCATCAGCACTGGCGCCAGGTGGCCTGGTTCGCCTCCGCCTGACACTTCCTAGCTATCTAGCCATAGCGAGTGTTCAGCCTCTCTGTACCTCTGCTTCTTCAGTGCTCAGATGGGATGGACAGCACTTCCCTTGTGCAGGATCCGGCATCGGAGAGCTCAGCGGCAGTGCTGTGTGCTGGTGCAGTGAGCACCACTAACCTTCCTGGGGAGCCAGAGCCCACTCCGAGGGTGACGTCTCCCACCCACCATGGCCCCGCCCCAAATGGACGTGTCATCTGTCAACCCTGAGTCCTCACAGATGCCCTGGGTGACAATAGCCATGCCCAGGGACAGGTGAGGGAACCTCTTGGAGCTTCTGCACACTGGAGCTAAGATGGCAGAGGAGGGCACTGTGGCAAAGGCCTGGTCTCTAGACCTCCAAACTGGGGAATTCTGTGGGTAAGACAAATTAGGACAGGGACAGACTGGGCAGGTAATTCAGAACAGCTGTCTTCAGTCTTGAGTGTACCTGCAGGTCGGTGGGGGCGCAGATGGGCCTGCCAAAGCACAAAGCGCTGGGCCTATCCCACTGGCTAAGGATGGGGCCACAGAGGTGCCCAGAAATCTGCATGGGACCTGTTCTCAGGGGATGCTGAGGCTGCTCCTCTGCAGACCAGACTTTGAGAATTGTGGATCAAAAATTATGTAGTCTTGGCACACACCTACAATCCCAGATCTCAGGAGGCTGAGGCAGGAGGATTGCTACAGTGAGTCCAAGATGAGCCTGAACTACACAGTGAGATCTAGGGGAGGCCCAGTCGGGGTTGTCACCCACCTCAGTGACTGGTGTAGTGGGTGAAATGTCCCTCCTACTCACAGGACTCTGTGAAAAGTGCTTAGAATGAGGGCTTTCACCGTGGCTGCGGCTCTTATAGAGCCCACACAGCTGGGCTCATGTCAGCATCTTGAGACCACAAAGAAGCCCTCACATTTTCTCTGAGAAGACAAATGTGTGGCTGAGGTAATTACCTGCGTGTGACTTAAACAATGAGGCGAAGCCGACGGTGGCTCTCGTCTTCATTAACCTGAGCGGCCTGCCGCCCCACGCACATCTTTCTCTTTGAAAAACTCTTGCCCATCTCACGCACGTTCATAAACAATCCTGGCAAGCACCTTAGCAAGCGCGAGAAACAAAAGAGGGAGTGGGATCAGCCAGTGTTACCATCAGCGGAAAAGGAAACAGCAGGACCAAAGAAACAAAGGCCTTTTCAGAACCTGAAGGGATGTGTGGTCCGAGCTCTGAGCACAGCGCGAGCTGCTGAGCTGGGCCCCAGATGCCTTAGCATGCTGCGGAGCTGGGCCAGAGCGGCACGTCCACGCACGTGCAGCGGGAGAGTCCCGTGGGGTTCGCTCAGGAGCTCACATGGCTGGGGCTGCAGCCTGTGTGAGTGGACGCTCTCCTGAGTGCCAGGGTGCAGGTGGAGAAGAGCGACCTGCACTGGCTCCACCACGCCACAGACTGGGGCCTTTCTCCTGCTTGAAGGGCTATCCTGAAAGGAAAGGGGAGCAGCTTGGTCACACAGCTCCAGCCACTGCTCCTGAAGATGGCTCTGGAGGGGGCTGCGGTGCCCCCCCCCCCCGCCCCCGGGGTGTCCCCGTGCCCTGCAGCCAGAGACATAGACACTGGCCCACCCTCGCCCAAGTCCCGCTAAGGACTCTCGCCCGCCGTCAGCGTGCTCCATGCCATGGTCTTTTCGCTGCTTTTACTGTGTTGTGTTTTCCCTCCTCGTTTGCAATGTCACTGAGCGGCCTCCTGTGTTGTGTCTTTCAGCCAGTAATGTTAAAGTAGAGACTCAGAGTGATGAAGAGAATGGGCGTGGCTGTGAAGTGAATGGGGAAGAATGTGCGGAGGATTTACGAATGCTTGATGCCTCGGGAGAGAAAATGAATGGCTCTCACAGGGACCAAGGCGGCGCGGCTCTGTCGGGACTCGGCGGCATCCGGCTGCCTAACGGGAAGCTCAAGTGCGATGTCTGTGGCATTATCTGCATCGGGCCCAATGTGCTCATGGTCCACAAGAGGAGCCACACGGGTAAGGCCTGCCTTAGTTCTCCTTTCGCGGCCGAGACGGTCCCGCGGGTGCGGAAGGAGCCAAGCACACAACCACGCGGCCCCTTCCTGGGGGGCTTCAAACTGAGCGCCTGCAACGGTCCAGTCGAGGCACACTGGGGCAGCGCAGGCTTCCCCTGGAACCACACGGAAGCGCCCTGTGCAAGGGCTTCTCTGACTCCATAAGAAGGAGCGGTAACAGTGTCCGCGCGTTCCCTCCCAGCCGCCTAGCGCTACGCCCAGAGCAGTCTGTGGCACGCGAAGGCGCGCCTGTCACGCGTCCCCCGTAGCCAAGCGTGACAGAAGACGTGCAGACCCTGAAGCTGCCGCCTACCTGTGCCACCAAGGTGCTACGGGGGCATTCAGAGCAACAGGGCTTGACGTGTAGAAACATTACAAAGCAGTGCACAGGCAGCGAACTGTCGCGCACAAGTCCGATCCGTCCTTAGCGAAGACTCTGGTCACACCGCCAGAGGGCTGCTCGCCTCCAGCCGACGAAGAGCGCCGCACCTGCCAGAGCCCTGTCATGAGGCTTTGGGGGTCGCAGAGACTGTGATGTTCAGTGTCCAGAGATGAAGAAAGACGGGAAGGCTGCTTCCCAGAGCTACGCCCAGGCCCACAAGCTGTCCTCGAGCTTGAGTCCCGCGAGCTCCTGCCAGCCGCGTAGCCCTGCGCCGTGTGACTGCTGCCATGAGCATCTGCACAGCGGTCACCCACGTGTTCAGCAAGACTGCCCTTCCCCCACCGAGGGAACCCCAGAAGCTTACACGCTGAAGAGCAGTGGCACTCGCCCTCCCTTCTGCGCTGTGTGAGGCTTTCGTGGCTTGAACAGAAATGCTGCTTTTCTCTCTCTAGGGAGACTCCCTAAAGGTGGGTCAATCTTGATGAGTGCACCAACTCCCACAGTCACAGAAAGCTGGACGTGAAACCCAGACAGCCTGCGCCACTCCAGCTGGCACGAAGGAGCGTGTGCCATGTAGCTTCCAGGAGGAAAGTCAGAGCACAAACGAAAGTGACCCGGATCCCAGCGGGCATCGCACCGCAGTCAGGACACCGAGGAAGCTCACAGCCCGCTGTGAGTTCTACATGGAGCAGGCTAAATATGTCCGTAACAGAAAACTATGCAGGAATCCAGAAGCTGCATGGAGAAAAAATCTGAGTCTCTGAGATTGCAATCTTATACATGAACCAGAGCAGTTTTTATGGAACATAACCTATTTGTTATCTATGGACAAAACTATAAATATATTGAGTTTCAATAGATATTCCTCTTCAATAAAAGCATTATCTTCTAAGCTGGTCATGGTAGCAAGTTAGCAAGACTCTGTGTGAAAATAAAAAAAAAATAAATAGGGTGCAGACACAGCTCAGGGCGAAGGCCTTAGGTTAAATCCCAGCACTCAAACAAAAGAAATAGTTTAGCTCCTAAAATTAAGCCCACTTTGCTTTTCTAAGTGGGCACCTTACTCCTCAGATCACTCAGTGAAATAGACCTGTCGTATCCAGCCCTAAGAAAAACATGTGACAGGCACACTACTGTCCCTCCCAATGCATGGACCCTAACCTGAGGGTCATAAAAGCCACCCCTGGGGACAGTGAGCATGCGCTCTAGGACCAGAGGTAATAATCACTTCCCTGCTGAGAAGTCAACCTCAAGTGGATTCCCTTCTTCTAATTCACGCAAAGCCCAACTGGACAATAAACATTCTCTTAAATAAATATTTGACAAGTGAATCAAATCCCAGCATATTAAATTACCAAGTTAGAATGACTGCTGCCTGGATAAAAAGATTAATTACCTTTAGTGAATAAACCTGCCGAGCACAGACACACAGAGTGGCACCTGCTGTCTATTCTCCCTTCTGCCCACCAACAGCAGCTAAGTGTCACACACCCCAATACCCCAAGATCACCCAATAACCTCTAGAAAGAGGGTGCACCCCAGCTTTAGAGTTCCCACTGAGCCCTTTCTGTACAGACACAAGAGAAGGCTCCTGGGATTTGCACTCATGTGAATACCGACGCTCACAGGTAGAGGTAGAAGGGCCCACTTTGGCTACCCTAGGTGTACGCTACCGCACTAGGCAGCTTCTGGTGTTCCTGGGATCTGACTGGCTGATGTCAAAGAGGCTTTCTGTTTTCTCTACTTCCAGAAGTCCAGAGGGTAGCTCCCCTCCAGGCTGAAAGCAGGTGGGGATTCAGGGTTTAGGGAGAAGCTGGGGAACAGGATTTCTAATTGGCCCACATGCCAGGCGAGACTTCAACCATGCCAAGCACGAGTCCAGGTCCACATGACTCTCCACGGGCTGGCTGGGACTCTACCTCAGAAAAACACCACCCAGTCAGAGGCCTGCAGGGATCCCCATCCCTTCCCCAACGACCTTTAGGGGCTTCAGGGCCATCTCTCTGGAGGTGACAAGACACAAACCACTGCTAAACGGTTCATCCTGGGTGCTTGCTTCACTTCCTGTTGGCCACTTGCTTTGTTAGGGACTCAGGCATGATGGCAGTGCCTACACCAGTGACTAAGGCGAGGACAGAGCAGGCAATGCAGGAGGAAACCAGAGCACACACACAGAAGCACCATTCTAAGTAAAAAAAAAAAAAAAAAAGGGCAGAGCAGGTGGTGCTATGAGGGCTCTGCTCACATCTCGAGGATAGAAGGTGTCACTGTCATGTCCCTGCTATCATGTCAGCCTCCCAAACTCTCGAGGTAGATGTCCAGCAAGGACTTGCTCTTGTACCTGGTTATGCTGCTCGGAAAGGCTCGGGCCTTCTTACTGCAGCCCAAGCAATGGAGGATGCACAGCCACTGAGATGAAACCTGTTCTAACTGGGGCAGCAGCGTCCTCATCCCAGCAAGAGGGAAGGAAATCTGGGGCTGCAGCAGCGTGGTCCAGCTCAGCGTCAGGACACGCAGGAGAGGCGAGACACACGGCATACCCTGCCGGCCCTAGGGCAGCACCCAGCATCCCCGCCAGGAGCACTGTCTTCAGGACTGCCATGCATGGCTACAGATTCAAGGTGATGACAAGCAAAGAGATCCCCAGCACACATCACCACAGGGATTCAGGTGTCAGGCATGGCAGGGCCCATGAGGAGAACCCCTAAATCAGAAAACAGATGTTGCTGTCCAGGAACAGATGATGACAGCCCAGTGACACTAGATCTACCTGAAGCTGCCCTCCTGTACCTCAGACCTTGGGGTGACACTCGGCGTCCATCTGTCCCCAGCTCTGGGTCACACCACAAACCCACCTGCATCCCCAGCAGTGTCCTGCTGTCCTTGTGATGCGCATTTTGGGAACATGGATTTTCATGATGGCATCATGTCTACACAAGAGCTACAGAGAGCAGTGTGCTCCCAGGTCCCCTGTCTGCGTCGCTACAGTGTCCCTCGATTTTCTTTTTCTTTTGTTCACTTGGAGTCAAGCACACACATGTGTGAAGCTGTGTGAGGAAGGCCCAGAAGCGTCACAGTAGCTAAGTGACTCAGCCTCCTGCCAGAAGCACCTCCAGGCTCGGGGTTCCACCTGCTTCATCTTCTCCCTTCAGCGCTGGCTGGTGACTCGCTTCTGCTGTCACTGTCCAGGCTGCTGCTCTGAACCCCCTTCTCGCTGCTCGATACATTCTGCTTAGGGCCGGGCCCTTCCAGCTGATCTATGGTTGCAGGCTCTTTAATCTGTGTAACTTTTATAGCAGTACACTGACAAATAACAGGAAATCCAAGTATCAAGCTAGTCTCAAACTAAAATCTAATATGGATTTCAATAGCTCCTAATATGCTTGTGGTTGTTTTTAATAAGCTGTCACTTCCCACAGTCACATTATTAATGGTGAAAATGGTTAAATAAGCATTTTAACGTGTTCCTTACTTCTGGGAAAACGCTATCTGTAGGGCTCACACTCATGGTTTATTCACAGTGGCAGTGTTGGTCATTCTGAGCTCTTCTTCCTTTAAGCAAAGCATGTTTCTTCAAAGAGTTTTTGTTTGCCTAAAGGTGAGAAGCATGGTGTTGCTCTAAGTGAAGGTTCAACGACCTGCTCACGCCATCAGATTCTAAGACCTGTGACTGCCCTGCAGGACAACATGACTGAACAATTTGTGTTCATGAACCTCTGTGTCCCTTTATCAGAACCAGAATACAAGCCCAGACCCTGCCACACACAGAGGTCCCAGGCTCTGCTAGGCCCTGCTAGGCCAACATGGTACATGTACCATGTACCACAGGGATGCATTAATTCCTCAAAAACAAGAAATGCAGTCTCTGAGCTCTGTGTCTGAAATGACACTTGTCTTCTGTGGATGTAGACAAGTGAGAGATCAGAGGCTAAAAAGTGTTGCCAAAAGATAAAGTCAAGAACCTCAAGGCAACTCTGCGGTGCCCTGCCTCAGGGGCTTCGGGACATTTCTGTGCAACGTGGGACCGTGGCTTCACTGCGTCTTAACTCTTGTTTTATTCAATCTTTCTCCATCTCTCTCTCTCCTCTCTCACCCTACACTTTCTCTGTCTCTCTCTTGATTTGCCTGCTTAGGGACAGACAGGTAATGGAGAAGAAATTGAAAGGGAAAATACAGGGAAAATGTAAATGAAAAGAAGTTATTATAACTGTTATAATGAAGTGCCTTTCATTTAAATATAAGAATGTAACGCTGAAATGAACTTGTGATCCTGAAATGCATTTTTAATGAGTTTCCTTTTTATTTTGCTGCTTCAGTGGCATATTTTAAAGACCCTTTGAAAAAAGCCACATTAAAAACCCCACCAAATGCCACAACACGCAAAATTGGATATTGGTTTATTCCAAAACTGCTGATCAGGAAGAGTGGCTCTTCATCACAAAATGTTGCAGTCACTTTATTTAAATGAGTTTGAATTTGCATTGTGATGTGCCATTCTGATTTAGGGGAAAAAAATTAGATTTTCAGATCAAATTGACCCAGCCAGCGAAGCGTTAAGGAGCTGGCAGGTTTCGTCTGAAAGCCTCGTGTTCTATCAAACCTGCAGCCGGTGGAAGTCACCGAGCCCCTCGTGGGAAGCAACTTTGTCGCCGCCGCCGCGGTCCCCTGTCCCCGCGCAGGGCTCTGCGTTCTGTACTCACCGTCCTCCCCTCTTCGCCCAGGAGAGCGACCCTTCCAGTGCAATCAGTGCGGGGCCTCCTTCACCCAGAAAGGGAACCTGCTGCGCCACATCAAGCTGCACTCCGGGGAGAAGCCCTTCAAGTGCCACCTCTGCAACTATGCCTGCCGCCGGAGGGACGCGCTCACCGGTCACCTGCGGACGCACTCGGGTAGGTCGGCGGCCGGGCGGGGGCCTGCGGGGCCG